TTATAGGTAATTGAAGAAGGACAACTCTGTCTTCGCGCATTCCAACCCACAGTACTGGTAAGTGAAGAAACTCTAAAGCCTGATCACCTTTCTCCTTGCCTCTCTTTGCTTACACCTAATACCCTGCACATACTCTGCCCTTATTTTTCCAATTATGCTTTAAACAACTTCTTTATTTGGCTTCTGTTTATTTATTTGGGGTGTAAAAGAATATATCAGGATATGCAAATTTGGGGAGAGGAGAGGAGAGGAGAGGAGAGGAGAGGAGAGGAGAGGAGAGGAGAGGAGAGGAGAGGAGAGGAGAGGAGAGGAGAGGAGAGGAGAGGAGAGGAGAGGAGAGGAGAGGAGAGGAGAGGAGAGGAGAGGAGAGGAGAGGAGAGGAGAGGAGAGGAGAGGAGAGGAGAGATCCTCCTTGCTGCCATTTTCTTTTTGTTGCATCATCCTTCACACCACACTGCTGGGATATGAACTTAAAACTTTCATTTTCTTGTAGACTAATGATAACTTGTTTAATAATACTAGACCAATATTTAATATTTCTTGTGACAGCAGATTGCATAAGGCATATTTGATATAAGGCATAAGGTAATTTGATTTAAAGAAAACTCTCAGAAATAATTTATTTATTTAAATAAAGAAGAAGAGAGGAAACAGTATGGATTTCTGAAACACATTCAAAACAGGTACAAAAAATTACTGTTTAAAAACCTGCCTTTTTGGAAACTCAACACTGGTCAGCCTTGTTTTCTCATATTATGTTGGTCTAGAGACAGCACAACAAAATGTACTGAATATAGCCTTGAACACTCTGCCTATGGGACTCCCTAAAATATGAGAGTACTTACTGCCCTCTCATGATGGAGCTGTTTCCATTTAATTGACAGGAAGTTTGTCACTGACAAAAAACATCCTGGATTCTATGTCTGTAATCAAGATTCTTGTTGAATTTCCAAAAAGGAGGAGAGGAAGTAGAGGGGAAACAAAGCTACACTGTGATGAAATAAGGAACTGAGTACCTGCACTTCTGAAATCATAAGTCTCTTTCTTTTGTAAACCTAAAACTTTGTTTTCATGTATGGGTCTTTGAAACAGCAGCAGGGAAAGACCAGGTTGGATGGAGCTTTGAACAACCAGCTTTGGTTTGGTGGTGGGTGACTCTGCCCATGACAAAGTGGTTGGAGCAAGATGACCTTTAATATCTCTTCCACCCCTAACCACTCCATGATTCCATGACCCTATGAGATTAATTGAACAGATGCTCAAGAGAACAGAAAAATACCCTCCCAGGATCACCAAACAGTCTGAGTTGGAAGGGATCCCCATGGATCATTAAGTCTGACTCTTAAGTGAATGGCCCATGAAGGGATCAAACCCACCACCTTGGCATTAGTTAGCACCCTGCTTTAGTCAACTGAGCCAACCTCAGAGCAAGTCACAACATAATCTGAAAACATTTAACAACAATCACAGATTTAATTTCTTGATCTGACACTCTACTTCCACTGCCAGTATTCCACATTTTTTGTCAAAAAAAGTATGGGGCTTTTTGACCCTTCACAGGAGCTTGCCATTTTAAGGTGGCTTCAACCTATCTGGGATCAACATGCCAGTAGTCAGGGTCCACCAGGTATGCCAGGATCTCCACCCTGTGCTGTTGAAAAGAGCTAATTCCTGGGGTTTGACATGTAGTCACCACTGCTGGAAGTGACTTAGGACACTCCTGTCCTAGCCTGTGTGCTGGAGAACATGAAGATTCTGAGAATGCCACTACACAGTTATCAAGCAGACTATGCAGCACGTGATGTGCAGAACCATGGAAGGTGGTCAGAGCACAGGAGAGACCAAACAGTACCACAAGATGCTCATAGTGTCTGTATCTGATTCAGAAAGAACTTTTCCGCTCATTCCCTTCTCGCATGCAGGAACTGCAGCGCTTCTTAGAGTTTGCCAGCTTCTTCTGATGATTCAAAATAGGCTTTTCCAGTGTCATGGCTCTTCTAGTGGTACCTACCTCAAAGGGATCTCACTTCCCATGGGCAGGAGAGGCACACAAAGCTCCTGAGGAATGGAAAGAGTCAGTCACCACATCCTGCCTTACTGTCCTGCTGAAGTCTTGGCTGGCATTTCGCTATGGAAGCAGGTGTCTGGGCCATAGGGGCTGTATTGTTCCACAATCAAGCCCAAAGCAGGAGCCATGCCCCCATGTCTTTTTCTTTAGACAAATAACTCCCACAAATAGGAATTTTCCATCTGAGACAAACAGGACCTGGCAATCCAAGCTGCCTCTGAGGAGTGGTAGCACACTCTTGAGGCAACAGAAGAACCAAGAGTGGTGCTTCTATTCTGGCCTACCACCAGAATATAACTGATAGACTAGCCCAAGCTCTAGGGTAGGCCAGTCCTAACTGTGTCATTTTGAGGGTCACAGACAGACATAAAGGGGCTTGCTTTTCACACCCAGTTTCCAGAGTCAACTGATTTGTGTATTTATTGTGTATTATTACTTCCGCTGATGGAGTTCTAGTGCTCCAGTGCTTGGCCACTGCAGTTGTGGTCCCTCCAAAAACTACTTAAATGAACTAAGTCACCAGGTTTTGGACCCCATGGCCACTGTCTTCCACACAGTCACAATCCACTGGGATATTACTACTGCTGATCACCTAATGTCCCTTGGGATATATGGTACCTGGATAGGCTGTAAAGATTAGCCATATCTAACTAATAAATCCTAATATAATTGTGCAGTCCCCAATGAATGGTTCTGGAAGACCATAAAACCACAGAAAGGTTTGGGTTGGAAGGGACTTTTAAAGACCATGTCGTCCAACCCTCCTTCAATGGACAGGGATATCTCAGGTTTCTCCAGATGGAAAGCAAGAGATCTTGAAGCAGCCTGCAGTGCTCTGCCACACTCCTACACACTGACCACAGGTTCCTGCAGGAGTCTGAGCCTAATCTGCAGCTGATGGGGAAGCTGAAGGCCAGGCTCCATGCAGGCAGCCTCAGGACTGAGGTGGTCCAACCTACCTGCCATGAAGCAGCAGGACTGGGGCTGCTCTGCAAGGGATGGCAGTGAAAAGTCAGGGGAGATCACACCACAGGACAGTGACCTCACCACCCAGGGCACAGTACCCAACTGGGGCAGCCTGGTGACAGTAGCAGCTGCTGACAGTCACAGCAATCACCAGGTAAATATGAGATGGCAGGTCAGGTCCAAGTGGAATCCATGAAATTCAGTGAACAGAAGCTGCAGGATATAGGATTAGGCACATGCCTGCCAGCAACACAGCTCAGGAAAGGGCTGGAGGCCAAGGCTGGAGCAGAAACAGAGCTACCCCTGCGGCTATGCTGGCAAGCTTGCACCAGTGTGTCTCTTAAGGCTCCAGGTTAACCCCAGCACAACTGAGGAGAATGTAACACAGACTAAGCAAGCACAGGAATTGGCCCCAACCACCTTGCACCTTCTAAATGGAACTTAAAACCAAGGCCAAACATGTCTCAAGGGTGTTTATCTGACTACAGATAGTCTTCACTGTCTCTTCTGGTCCTTCAGTCATCCATTGCCACACCATGATGAAAAAGTTGCACAAAGATTTAGGAAAACTTTTAAGGGTGGGAATGGAGTAGAAATGAAGGAACAGGCTTGCAAGAATATAGACTTATGCTTGCCAGTTTTTCTGACTGAATAGAAATGTAGGGAACAGGGCCTGTGAGACCATCCGCTCTCACTCCATAACAGATAAAAATTAGAGTGTTCCAGCTTCTTGATTAAAGACAATGACAGACTTTGATTTTTGTTTGTTTTACTTCAAATAAAAGCCTTATAAGTATACTGAGATGTGGGTTTTGGTCCTAAGCAACAAAAAGAATGGTCTCTCTGCTGTGAAGTACTAATGTGGAAATGCCTGAAACTACCTTGCATAGAAATTGCAGAATTCAGACCACAAATTGTATTTCATACCACATTGCAAATTGTATTTTATAGGTAACACTGGATCTATTTTCACACTTAAAATTCAATTGAATGGATTATGTATGTTATAACAAACAGAACCATCAACTAATAAGTATGCACTAGAAGAGAGATAGAGGAACAAAAAATATGTTCCTTTTCCCAGACCAGATTGGGAAAAAAATATCACAGTACTGTCACTTGTGCACTCACTACATTAGGAAAACATAAAGTTGCCACTAAATTAGGCAAAATTAAATGTCTTTATTGCCTGTCCAGATTAAGACCTTTTTTAAAAGTGTGCTGTCATTTAGAATAAAATGTTAAATATAGAGAAAATCATTTAATTACCTACAAATCTAGAGAAATTCCCAAAGTAAAATTACTTCCTCAAGCATTGCAGGTAATGAACAAACATAGCTTTCAGCACTAACCTTTTTGCCTGAGGTAGTCTGATATCCTTGGTGTTATTCTAGCCTCACTTCCTCCTGCTCGCACACCTGTATGCTTTTCTGACACCCAGTGTGACTACTGGACAAGCACAGTTATGCTCAGTCATTTAAAAACCATACCATTCATAATTCTAACACTGCTGGGGTTTTGAAACATGCAGTTGGCTGGACTGTACAATTCTCTCCATTCTTCAGCTGATACAGCCCTTTTACTTACAAATTACTGATGACCATTTAGAATACATAAAAATAAGGCTGTGTGTGTCTTATCTGGACAAATCCATTTTTTTTTAAGTTGAATCAGCCATACCATACAGTATTAAATAAGAAATGCAGTAATTTTCCTGCAGTAAGTTACTGCCATTAAATTTTGCATTTTGCCAAGGCACAGTACACAAACAAACTCCTGCAATAGCAGATCAGTCTACCACATGAAAGTTTTAACCTTCTAATGACACAGTGGGACATATTTTGCTCCTTCTATGTGTCAAGTGACATAAGGCAGCACAAGAAGCAAAACAAGGACATTCAAATATCCCTAATTCTTCATTAGTCACAATGAATACTGGTCTCCTACACAAATGAGAGACACAATGTTGTAAACTATTAAATAGGAATAGAATTTTATTCTGTTAGTCTGCGTATGTATTGGTACAGCTGTTCTGAGAAAGCTTCTGAAGAAAATTTTTCCATGACTCTCACTCTCCCAGCTGCTCCCATTGTGTCCTTTAAGAGAGGATCTCTCACAATTTTTTCCATGGCATCAGCGAATTGCGTTGGCAGAGGATCACACAAAAATCCTGTAACATTATGTGAGATTGATTCTAAAGGACCACCTGAATTAACTGCTATAACTGGACATCTCATATACATTGCCTCCAAAGGGACAATGCCAAAATGTTCATTGCTTGGTGTATAAAGCACACACACAGAGTTACTAAAAAGAGAGATTTTCTGTTCATCTGAGAATGATCTCAGAAAAGTCACATGGTCATTAACATCAAGTTTGGCTGCGAGTCTCCTCAGCTCTTCATAGTGCTCCACGTTTTCCAGAACTCGCTTATCATAACCACCTGCCATAACCAGGTGAACTTCATCCCACGCATGAGAATCAAGTCTCCCTCGAAGTTCGTGCAAAGCTTCGAGAGCCAACGCCAGATTCTTTTTTCTCTCATACCTATTAATGGAAAGAAACAAGAACTTTTTCTTTTTCGGTATCAGATCAGCTATGTCTGCAGGAACAATTTCTTCAAAGCTACTGATGTTGAGTGATGGGTAGAGGACGTCTGGTTTTATGTGTGACAGGGACTTAAATGTGTCTTTGAACACGCTGGCAGTGAACTTGCTGTTCACAACGATGCAGTCTGCCATGCCAGTGGTGTACTCCTCCAGCCAGTCGAGCGGCAGTCTGTAGAGGCGCTTCAGGAAGGATTCTCTCTTGGTCAGGAGCTGATCGGGAAAGTGACAGTAAAACAAAACCTTCTTACGGGTTCTGGCCAGTCTAAGCACAGGAATGCAGGCAGACACCTAGTGCAACCAGAGAGATGGGACAAGAGGAGAGGTTAATTGTTTGTGTCAGTGCCACCAGGGTGCACATGTGATTTCAAAGCCATGCTCTGAGAGCCGCAGCTTTGCAAGCCAAGTGCCTCTCCCCCACACAAGCACATCAAATTATACTCCCTCATCCAGGACCTCTTGTGGCCCTATAATTTCTTCCACCTCCCCACCGAGGTCCCATCAAGCCCCAGAACTTCTCCAAGCACCTTCTTCCACCACTACCAGGGGTGCCGGGAGCAGAGTCAAGCAGCAGTGGCATCCTCTCCCTCCAGCTGCCCCAGAATGTAAGATGTAAATTGCAAAATGCAGACTTGGTCAAGTTTATCTAAAGTCAGGATGTTCTTTGATGTAAGATCTTTGTACACTTTCAAGCCTAATCAGCAAGAAAGAAGACCTCATCAGTGGAACTATCAGCAGCTAGCATCCCTTAGTCAACGACATCCTGGAACTAACAAGCCTTAAAGATGTAGTAAATCAAGACGTTGATTTCTGTCTATGTATACATTGCTAACTTTGCAAAATACTCAAGGTCCATGTATCCTATAGCTAAACTATGTTCATTATAACACTAAAAACACACCCACAGGTCAGAAAGACCCCTGCTCAGGTGAAGACCATTTCCCCAAGCAAGTGTAGAAGTTAACTGGGGACATGTAACTTGCACAGAATCACAGAATCAATTAGGTTGGAAAAGAAATCACTGAGTCCCAACGATGACCCAACACCACTGTGTCAACTAGATCATGGCATAAAGGGCCACATCCAGTCTTTCCTTAAATATATCCAGGGCCAGTGACTCCATCACCTCCTTGGGCAGTTCATTTCAATGTATAATCAATCACCCTCTCTGAAGAAATTCTTCCTAATGTCAAAGCTATGTCTCCCCTGGTGCAGCTTAAGACTATGTTCTTTCATCTTGTCACTAGCTGTCAGGGATTCCAATCCCCACCTGTTAGAACATCCTTTCAGGCAGTTAGAGAGGGTGATAAGGTCCTCCAGAGCCTCCTTTTCTCCCAGCTAAACATCCCAGTTCCCTCAGCCACTCCTCATAAGACTTGTGCTCCAAATCATCCTCCAGCTTTACTTCCCTTCTCTAGAAACTATTAACCAATCATAACATTATGAGGTGCCACTCTTTGGAAGTTACTAACTCTGAATTTCTGTGTATAAAAGATGAAACAGAAAGCCTGATGGAATGTCCTTGATTTGTAAAGCACTGTGGAGCAGTCAGGCTTGCACAGCTCTCAAATTGATGTTTCTCTATTGAGTGCATTATTATTGGCTCGTTGCACACCCAATAATGAATCCCATTTTGTGGGAATTTGATACTCCAGGGTTCTGGAGCATGTCTCTTATGAGAGACTGCAGGAACTGGGCTAGTTTAGTCTAGAGAAGACTAGGAGACAATTAGTTAATTTAAATATCTCAAAGGTAGATCTCATCTCAAGAGGATGCTGCCAGACTCTTTAGTGATGCCCACTGACAGGATGAGGAGCAGTGGCCATAAACTGAAACACTAGAACTTCTACCTCCACATGAAGAACTTTACTTTGAGGGTGGCAGAGCACTGGAAAAGGCCGCCCAGGGAAGTCGTGGAGTGTCCCTCTCTGGAGACATTCCAAACCTGCTGTAGGTGACCCTGCTTTGGCAGGGGGTTTGGAGTAGATGATCACCAGACGCCCCTTCCAACCCTAACAATTCTGTGATTCTGTGACGAGCAGCCCACCAGCATCCCTGCCTCCAGTCGGGCCAGCGGCAGCGGCGCTCCCGTCCCCATGCCCGTGTCCATGTCCGTGCCCGCACCTGGTCGCACACGAAGGCGTCGAAGGTCTCTCCGCTGAGCAGCAGCACGTAGAGCGCCACGAAGGCCATGCGCAGGGCGGCGCACAGGGCGTGCCCGCGGCCGCACAGGCTGCGCGGGAGCCAGCCGCCCGCCCGCCGCACCGCCAGCCCGCGCGTCTCCGCGAAGCAGCGCCCGGGGTCGTAGTGCGCCGTCCAGATCTGCACCCGGCAGCCCCGCGCCCGCAGCGCCAGCGCCGCGTCCACCACCAGCCGCTCCGCGCCGCCCAGGCCCAGGTCCGGGTGCAAGAACAGCACGGACGGGCCCGCTCCTCCCGCCTCCTCCGCCTCCTCCATGGCCGCTGCTGCGGGTCGCATGCGCAGCCAGGCAGTCCCGGTGGGACACGTCAGCCTTGCTTCCCTTCCTCCCGGGCCTTCCCGCCCCGCCCCGCCCGCCGGGCGGCCGCGCTGTTGCCCGACGCGCCGTTCGACGCGGTCCTGCGCCGGCCCGGCCGCTGCGCAAGGAGCGGGCGCGACCGAGGCGTCCCGGCGGGCAGCGGTCTCGGAAGGCGGCCGCCGAGCCAGGGGTACAGAGATAAGGGGCTGCTGCTGCTCAGGCATTATCCGGGGAAGCCGCGAGGCCCCGGGATGCGCGGCGTGGGGCGGAGCCTGATGCGGACGGGGACGTGGCCGGAGCGGCTGTAGCGGAGCGTGTGTGAGACCGCGCCGAGCCTCAGCCAGCGCCGCCGCCATGGTGAGGGGCTGCCCCAGTCAGGGGGCGGCTGAGGCGCCCCTTCCCCGCCGGCAGTGCCCGCCGCCCTCTCACCCCCTCCCGCTTCTCTCCTCTCTCCGCAGCCCGGGCCCAACCCCAGCGCCACCAGCGTCGGATCCTCCGGCCGCTCCCCCAGCAAGGCTGTGGCTCCCCGCGCCGCGGGATCCACCGTCCGGCAGAGGTGGGTGCCCGCCGCCGCCGCTCCCCTGCGGGAACAGCTCTTGTCCCCGTCGTGCGCTCTGCTCGCCGGGCTGGTCCCCTCTCTGACGTGGCAGCACTGACTGAGGCCAGTCCAGAGAAGGGCAACGCTGCTGTGCAGGGGTCTGCGGCACCAGTGCTGTGAGGAGGGGCTGAGGGAGCTAGGGGTGTTTAGCCTGGAGAAAAGGAAGCTCAGGGGTGACATCGTTCTCTGCAACCACCTGAAAGGAGGGTGTAGCCAGGTGAGGGGCTGTGTCTTCTCCCGGGCAACTATTAGCAGGATAGGAGAGCACAAGTCTTAGCTGCGCCTGGGGATGTTTAGCTTGGCCATCAGGAGGAAGTGGTGATTAGACATTGGAATGGGCTGCCGAGAGAGGTGGTGGAGTCACTGTCTCTGTAGGTATTTAAGGAAAGATTGGATGTTTCACTCAGTGCCACGGTCTAGCTTACATGGTGGTATTGGGACATAGGTTGGACTTGATGATCTTAGAGGTCTTTCCCAACCTGATTGATTCTGTGAAGTGTATTGTTTCTGCAGTCTCCTGGGCTGCTTGGTCCTAAAAGCTGGTGGAGTACTAACGTGTTGTTTGCTCTTTGTTTTCTTCTGTCATCCCTTAAAGGAAAAATGCCAGCTGTGGGACAAGGAGTGCAGGCCGTGCCACGTCCACAGGGACTGGTGGGATGTGGCGGTTCTACACTGAGGACTCGCCAGGGCTCAAAGTGTAAGTTGGGTGAATGGGTGCTGGCAGGCTTGAGGGCTGCAGAGTTCCCCTGCCTACACTGTCCTGCAGTCTTTGAATTAATAGTGATCTGTCAGTGTTCTGGGGTGGATGGGAAAACTTGCTGAGTTGATGGTTGGAATGACATATTTAAATCTGTAATCCTGGAGAAGGAGTTTCTAAAGTTACGGTGGTTTTAAAAAGGTAGGTATGAGTTGTATTTTGTAATTGCCAGAGCTTACCATATGTGGTCTTTGAAGGCAGTGAGCAATCACTTTGAAGTTGAGAAAGATCACTTGTCTCAATGAATTAAAGCATCTGTGTACCTGTTTTCATTCTCTTTTAAGTAAAAATCTTGGGTTTTGTCTTATAATAGCTTTGTTATGGTCCTGTGCACCCCTTGAAAATACAATATAAGTGATCAACCATATGCTCGCATCAGGTGTTTTTATTAAAAAGCTGTAGATAAATTACTTTAGCTGAACTTGCCTAGCAAATAGCATGCCAATACCTTGTATATCTCCATTTTCACAAGGTGAATGTTCCAAGATTATGGTCAAATACCTAATAATGTCCCTTAAACTATAGAGAGAGCCTAAGTTTTTACCCTTTTGACTGCTGTGAGTCATTCAGATGACTTTCCCAACAAACTTTGAAGCCTAATACTCGGGTGACAAAAGTGGAAGGTGTATTTGAGCTGATGAATGCATGCCAAGTTACATCCTGAGTGGAAATTTCTGCTTATTGTAGAATTACAGTTCATTAGTTCTTGTTCTAAGTTGAAAAGTCTTGAGATGCTCAGGACTGACCCTGTTGCTTGTTTTTTTTTTTTTTTTTCTCCATTAATATTTTCTTTTGGAGCTCTTCAAGAGGGCTGCTGCTAGCTGCACATTTGGGGAAGGGCATGGTTATAGTCTACTTAGTGATAGTTCTGGGAGTAATCCTTCATTTGACATTGTTTTACATGTTTTCATTTTCATATATACTTGAAACTTGAGAAAACAAACTGTATCCAGCAAACCGCCAAAGTTGTGCTGTTCTCCCTTGCTTAGTCCATTCTGAGTCCAGAAAGGAGACAAGGCAAAGAAAAGATAATGAGCAGCAATAGTGTTCTAGAGGAAATCTATGCAGATAGGCAGGGCAGCTGTTTTTTCTGTTGTTTGATCTACTGAAGTTCAATGTAAAAAATGAATTACACCAAACAAGAAAAACTCCAGAAGGGCATTATGATTTTTTTAATAGACTTTAACAATTTTGCTAAGTTTCCTTGTGAATCCTTTGATTTCACTTTTGGTGCTGAATGGCCACTCAGTTGTTCTTATCTTCAGTGCAAGCAGATCAGTAAAGAGATTTTCCCATCTACTTATGTTGTGACACAGTGACACACTGGTTCCCAATTTTAAGGTTTTGGAGCACTGGGAGTGGTTTTTTTGGAAGCTACTTTGGGTAATTGTATGGTCAGGCTTTTAATGAAAGAATCAAATCTATAAAAGTGAGTTGGTTTTACAAATCACCCCACGCTACATGTAACATTTTCTGAACCATGGCATGGTAGCAACTTTCTTGCTTACAGCTTTCTAGGTATTTTTCTTCAATTTTTTTTTCCATGGCAACCAATTGTTATTATCTCTACCCTGTTTAGTAGGCTTTAAAATGAGAGTGGGTTATGAAAGCTTTGTGATTGCCTCAGTGAGTGCTTCAGCTGAAGTCGTTTTTAGAAATGGTTGTGATCACTACTGCATAAAGCAATGGGAAAGCTTAGCCTGGTAGTGGTGGTGGGTGAGCTTTTTTGGTGTTTTTTTTATATTGTTTAAAATTCAAGCTCTTAAAATTACTATGAAAAAATACAGAAAATCACCTGAGAACAGGTTAATTCATACTAGCTACAATGAAGGGAATTTCGCTCTAGATAAAAAAGTCTATATATTTTATATTGTGCAGAATTAGATTGATGCTTTGGATATTTTTGTATTTGTATTCAATATCCAAAATAATAACTATGTTGAATAGGCAAGTTGGTTTCCCTCAGGAAAGATCCTTTATTTGCATTACAAGATGCTTCAAGATCTGTATGCCTTAAAAAACAGCTATTAGTGAAAGGGAGTTGTGGGGGATTTGGCCGAGAGAGGATATTATATTTTTCTCTTTGAAGCTTGGAGATTACAAGCTTTGAAAAGAAAAGTAAACCCAAACTTTTTCATGTTTTTGGGTCACTTGGTACCTGTGGTTCCTGTATCTTGTCTTGGGCTTTCCTACTTAAGGAGCTATAGGCAGCTTTCCTATGGATAGAAAGTCAAATTGAGCTTGTGGTACAATATGCAGCCTTATGAAAGACATTCTGAGAATGCATGGTACCAAATTTTTAGAGGTGTCTGAATCCACTTATTTATCTGTGGTGGCCTGAGAAGATGCAGGTGTTTGGAGGAGAATTGCAGGGTTTCAACAGGTTTTCTTTGGGACTAGAGGAAATGAGATATCTATGTCAGTATTGGAGAGTTGATTTTTCTCTAGGAGTCCAATGTCATCTTCATGTTAAAAAACCACTGAACACACAATCAGTCCCCCCCTGTTTATTTCGATGTAGTTCTGTTCTGATTAGTGGTGCTGCTTTGTTCCCGTGTGCCTTTGGGAACAGCTTACCTGTTCCTACTGCTGAAGGCTCAAATGAATTAAATAGTAATTCAGATACAGTGTAAGAACTATAAATTACGATTTATTTTATGTAGGCTATAAACTTGGATGTGTATATATATATGTGTAAAAGTAAATAAATAAAATTATAAACTAAATATATTTATTTATATAGATAAAATGCTAGGGTTTGAGAATTACATTCTGTTGCTTTACCCCTTGAAAGGGTTGCCTGTGTAGTCACCATGTATGTGGACTTTATTTTGTTATTAGCTATTTTGTTATTTATTTGCTAAATGCTTTATGTCTGTGTTCATGATTCTTCATACCCAAATAAGTCTAAGTATGATAGATAATAACTGAGTTTTAAAACTCAGTGTAAGATTACAGTTGTGATCATTTCAAGTATGTGGATCATGATCTCATAGAAAAATATGTGAGTAAACTCTTTGAATCCCTTTTCAGTTTTCTTTTTTTTTTTTTTTACTTCATATTCAGGTAGCATTTACATGCTTATAAACAGTACCCTGGAGGGTAACACAGGCTGGATAACAGATTTCCCAATAGCATGTTGAAAATCAAAAATGAGATTGTGTGAAGTGAGTGATATGAAGGAGTGTTGAGTGTGTGTATTCATGTAACTGTTGCATCTTAGAATGGCATGAAACAGCTGATTGAAGCTATCAATGTGCACCCTAAGGTTAAACTGTTTTTTAAAAAACATTACTATGCAATTTCTAAACAATATATGAAAGTAAGAAAGAAAAAAATAAATTATTCATTTTAGGTAAAGATTTGATGATGTAGCTTTGCCACTTTGTCTATGTTTTTCAAGAAAGCAGAAGTCCCTGTCTCTCACCCACTGCTGCCATTGTTTTCAAATGAAACAAAACCTCTAAAACAAAACAGCTAATGAGAATCTTTTTTGCCAAAATTTTAGTAGCCGCTAGAGGACTCTGTTGGTTTTTTTATATTGGACTGTATCTTTGCTCAGTTGGCTATCTGAGTTGTAAACACAGAGGATACTTTTCTAGAGA